TGTAGTCTTGACCTGAGGTCCCTTAGGCCCCGTAGCTGTGCCACGAGTTTCAACGGTCTCACCAAGCCAAAAGAAATCTGCACTGCCTGACATGTCCTCGTGCCTATGCTTCACACTCATAGCAGACAACTCAAGTGCACATCACGTGTCAACTGGGAAACTAGGAGGGTCACATATATCAACTTATTTGAAGCTGATTCAAAACTTGAAGGGTGTTGAGCGTACGGCCTCGGACCAAAACTAAAGAATCGACAGGGCTGAGAGGCTCAGGACGCAACGACCATCGGCCTTTTTGGCCAAAAAATTTGCTCGTAATCGGAACTTCCAACAGAATGCTCTGAGAGAGTCTGCGGGACCCAGCCTTCGGCTTCCGTGAGCCCGCGGACTCTGTCGATTCTTCAGTTTTGGTCCAAGGCCGTACGCTCAACACCTCAAGTTTTGAATCAGCTCCAATACGACGATCTGTGGTGGGGTCTAGACACGACAGCATAAGAGAGAGGTCGCAGATCCCACCCCCTCCCACACCACACGCTATATGAGCTATATGTGCTATATGCCCACCCCCTCCCACAGCCCACGCTATATGAGCTTTTTGTGCTATATGCTCCTATTGGGCGTGTATACGCACGCTATATGTCCTATATGAGCTGTATGTATGTCCTATATAGGACATATAGGATGTGTAGGGGGAGCCAGTGGGACTATATAGAACATATAGGACATATAGGATATATAGGGGGAGCCAGTGGGACCATATAGGACGTATCGGACATATAGGGTGTGTCGGGGGAGCCAAGTGGGCCGCCGCCGCTGCCTGGGAGTCTGGGAGGGAATCACCTGGTTTCTTTTTGGGCCCTCCGCCGCCGCCGCGCCGCCGCCTGGGAAGGAATCACCTGGTTTCTTTTTGGGGCCCCACGCTCCGTGGGGGGGAATCACCTGGTTTCTTTTTGGGGCCCCGCCGCCGCCTGGAAGCCCTCTTTTTGGGGGTCCGCCAAACCATTTGGGGCGCCCGCCGACCCTCCCGCAACCGTTTGGTGCCTTCACTTGGTGCCTTCACTTGGTGCCTTCACTTGGTGCCTTCGCAAGGTGCCTTCGCAAGGTGCCTTCGCAAGGTGCCTTCGCAAGGTGCCTTCGCAAGGTGCCTTTACTTGGTGCCTTCGCCAGGTACAGGGAATCCCAATGATGCTAATTCTTCACGGTTTTCATTGGAGCAGCGCTTAAAAGCAGTGGGAGTGTACGCTGCAATTGCCCACATATGCCCTTTGTGCGGCTCGACTTTGTGAAATCGACGGGCGTTGAAGCACACTGGCTGGTCATGCATGTCGATCCACAAGCCTCGAAGCGGATGAATTTTGTTTTTCATCACCACCTCATCTGGCGACGTGCCTTCGTCGTCTTCGACCCACACTCTGCCTCCCGTGTATCGTCCGAGTGCGATCGCATAATTTGGCATGCCGATCATGTTCCCCATGTCGCGGTGGAGCCCGATGCGCGGGTTCAGAATCACCGCCAGGGAGGTCCATTTTCCATCCGGGATGCGATCACGCAAGAAGTGATTGAGCGCAATGCATGCCTCTTTCGCGGCGGATGCTTTTGACATGCCGGGAGCATTGCCCCCGTAGGCGTAGAGCCCCAGGGTACAGTAAATTTCATATGTTCCCGAGCCAATGCCTCGTCGGCGCCCGCGATGCTTCCATTCCGGCGACCAACAATCCAGCAGGCGAACCAGATTTCCCTCAGAAGGATCTTGCGTGACGGCTTCGCGTGCAGCTGATAGCCCGGAGCTCATTTTTTTGAGCCTCATGGTGGGGCAATGGGTCCGGGGTTGAAGTCCCGCAGCTGCCGGACGGCCAAGGGCACAGGCGGGCGGGTGAGTCTCGCCTTGGGCTCTGCGCTTCCACGCGGCACGGGCAAGGCATGCTTCAGCAGCGTCTCGCTTCCATTCGTGGCCCGCGCCACCATGGAGTCAACAGAGCTCAGGTCCTTGGCGGCCCCGTACTGGGGCTGGAAGCTCCTCGCCGCATTGGTCGGGGCTCGGAAGGCCCCCGCCTCCTGCAGCCGTCGCTGCCGGCTCCGGGTCAGGGCGGCGTTGTGCTTGAACTTCTGCGCGTTGTCTTGGTACACTCGGAATGTGGTGGCTGGCTGCTTCTCCACATCTTCAGGGGCTGCGTGCACTGCCTGGTGTGGGCGCTTGTTGTGTGCGCTCGTCACCTGCTCCACGTTCTCCGCCCAGCCTCCCCCCTCCCGGGCCGCCCTGCCCGCCAGGTCCTTCTTGAGCGTTTGGATTGCTCGGTCTATGACCGCCGTGGCATTGCGGTCCTCGGGCCGCTTCTGTCGGTGCACGGCTGCGTCGGGGAGCGCTTGCTCCAAGCCCTGGAACTCGTTCCCCAAATCTGTGGTCACCACATAATTGCCCTCCTCCTCCACCAGCTCCGGGATGATCTCGGCCGCAGCCTGGGTCACGGTCTCGGCTCGCTTGTCGGGCAGGGCCTTAGTGGCCACCTCCCGCGTAAAGACGTCCGTCACCACCAGCCCATAGCGATTCCGGCCCCGGGTGTTTTGGCTAAAGTCCACCAGGTCCGCTTGCAGCCTATCGTTGGGGCCCTCGGCCGCGCTCTTGCCCAGGCTGCGGGGCTTGGGCGCCAGCACATGCCCGGCCACGTCCGTGCGCAGTGCCGCTCGGGCCCGTGCAGCCGTGAGGTCCCGACGCTCCGGGTGGTCCCTGCGGGCTATCTGGTAGAGCTTCCTTGGGTCCCGCACGTTGTACTCTGCTGCAAGCTCCCGGAAGAACTCCAATGCTCCCTCCTCTGCCATTTTCTCTGAGCGGCCCCGCTTCTTGCCCTTCTTCTCCAAGGCCTCCACGCGGGCCTGGAGACCCTGGCAGACTCCCACAAAACACAGCACATGCGGTTGTAATCCAGTCCGCACAGCGCCTGGCCCACGGGCCCCGTCTCCCGCACTTCATTCGCGATGAAGCCCAGTGTGCGCTTCTGGCTCCCCTCGGTCCGCCGGTACCACTTTGGGGCCACGGTGTCGAAGACCTGCTGCAGCTCCTCCAGCCCCGCGGGCTCCACGCTGTGCTTCAGCTTCTCATCCGAGAGGTTCTGGAAGCCGTAGTTGCAGATCACCTCGCCGTCGTTGGCCCCGCCCGTGTTGGATTCCACGATGAGGTTGGCGGGCCCGGTCGCCGCCGTGCGCAGGAAGATGGCCTGGTCCTGGGCGTAGAGCTGCACGCCCCCCGCGGAAGAGGCGGTGAGCTCGGCCGAGCCCGCGTTGCAGGCCACGAGGAGCCGCGCGTTGCCCGCGGCCGCGAGGTTCAGCACCTCGGCCGTGACGTCCCCGCTGTTGACGGTGGAGACCACCTGCAAATCCCCTTGCGCCTGCACCCCTGTGGAGCCACCGATGAGCTCCAGGTACGCTGGGCTCGAGACGATGCCATTGTCGGCCCTGATGGCGGAAGCCGTGTAGAGCACCGAGTTGAGGTAGGTGCCCTGCGTGCCGCCCGTCAATGTGAGGTAGTCGTCTGTGGGCCTCGCCCGCACCGTGGGCTGCCGACCGTGGCGATGCCCAGGCTGGAGTCCGCGAAGATGCTTCCTTTGGTCAGCATGTTGACGCCCGTCTTGAGGCTGAAGAGCATGGAGGACAGGTCGGCCACGGCGGCCCCGTTGCTGGCCTCGAACTCGACGCCCAGGCTGCCGCCCCGCAGCGTCAAGAAATCCGCTCCGTTGGCCCGCACGTCATTGACCAGCAGGGGGTCTGCGGGCGGTGCCCCCGCCAGGGCATAGCGAGCATCGCTCTCGGCTTTGCTGTAGCAGTCGCAATTGGACGGAGCGTGGCCCCGTTGCCCAGGATGGGCGTGGCGCTCAGGGGCGCCTGGGGGAGGAGGGCCCTGACCATTCGTGGCGTAAATTGCTCCAGCACCAGGGTGTAGATGCCCCCGCCCTCCACGTTCCCGTTCGTGGGAAAGGGAGTCCAGGGGCGCGTAGTCGCTGCTGGAGAAGTACCTCCCGTCGCTTTCGCTCTTGGAGTAACAGTCGCACGTCAGCTGCACCGTGGCGGAGTTGCCCAGGATCAGGTTCGCTCCCAGGGGTGCCTGGGGCAGCAGTGCTCGGATCATTCGGGGCGTGAAGTTGTCGAGCACCATAGGGATGATGCCTCCCCCTCCGGCGTTGCCGTTGACGGGATGATACCGGGCGTCGCCCTGGGCTTCGGTGAGGAGCCCCGAGGAGCTGATCTGGCTGGCGATCTCTGCTGAAGTTTCGCCCTGATCCCAGTAGTTGGTGAGCTCCGAAGCAATGGAGCTGTCGATGTCGGCCTGCGTGGCATACTGCGAAACGTTCAGGGCGTCCACGGCGCTCGAAATCTGAGCATTCACCTCGGCCTGCGTGTACGTCTGGCTCTGGTCATAGGCCTGGCACTCGATCTGCAGCGTGTTGCCCGAGTTCTGGAGCGTGGCCACCAGGGGCCCGGCGAAGTACACTCCAGGCCTCATTTGGCATGTTCGAGATCACGAAGGCTCTCATGCTCATGTGTTCTGTCCAGTCAAATACTGGATGATGTTGCAAAACACCTTCACGGCAGCTTCGGTATTTCAGCCTGTGTCGCTGAATGAATCACTGATCATGTCGCAGATGGAACAAGCCGTGCCACCGAAACTCCTGGAAGCCTTTCCATTTCGATTAAATCTCGAAGCGCGCGTGTTTCCTGGGCATACATTTTGCCCAAATTCAAGAAAGATTGGAAAGCGGGTAGACCCATTGTCAGTTTTGCGGCGCATCCAGCTCGTCAATTCCTGGTTGTCATGGCACGTGTCACCGAGATGCTTGTTGCTCAGGTTTGTCCGCATACGAGATCGTGCAACGACGCAATCATGTTGTGGCAAGATCTTCACCAGTTGTTCGAGAAACAGCATCCAGCTGATGATGGGTTGTGCACGGATCTGACCATGCACAATCAAGATCTGTTCCGGGTTCTTTATCAGTATTCCTTTTGAACGGTTCATGATCACGTTTCGTATTCTGCTGTGTCGTTTCTATGACGTCGCTGATGAAGATCTCGATGACGCCCTGAAAGGAGTTGTTATCACGGTGGATCTCGCGGACAATCTTTCTGTCATGAAGACGATTCGCGGACGCCATTGCTTGCTCCATGACAAACGAATGGCAGTCCCGATGGATCTTTTTCTGGAGGCTGTAAAAGTGTCTTTCAAGTTCTCACTGTTCGTGGTCGGAGGACAGGCTGTTAAACAGTTGCGAGGTGCGCCAATGGGAAGCCATTTCTCTCCGGCTGCATGTCACGCAGTGGTCAGTCTGTATGAACACATGTATTTCAGCCATTGCCTGCTCAATTCTGTTCGATTGCCAACGTATGGCCTTGTTGTTCGATATGTGGACAATCGCCTCAGCCTGATTTTTGATCGTCACAGGAATGTTGCTGCCGACGTGTGTGTTCCACCCATTGTATTGGAGTATGAAGAGGGAAACCTCTTTTTGGGGTTCCACGTGGACCTGCAGCAGCTGCGCATCAAGTATGTGCAGCCCGTTGAGACTTGGAAGTTTCTACATCCGTTGTCTGCTGCCAACTCACGTACACTCTTGAGCAGTTTTCGCTCCAGAGCCCATCTGGTCGCACGGGCTTCCTGGCCCAAGACACAATGTGATGACGATCTGAATCAGCTGGTACAGTCTTACGTCAAACAAGGCTTTGATCCCAAGATGATGGCGCCAATTCTCAGACGTGTTCGACACCAGTTCGATATACCCCAGCACTCAGTGGATGAGTAAATAAATTGAGCTCTCAAGCTTGATTTGCTTGCTTGTGCTGTTTGAGGGTTCGCGTGCTTGTCAGACATGTCATGAATTCTCTATGTTGCTCGAGCGCAGTTGTAGCGTTCGTAACTAATACCTATTTTCATTGCCCGGCTGTGATCATGGGGGCTCGGATGACAGCGCGCAGGAGGTTAACTGTGCTTTGACCCCTCCGGAACAGCTTCCAGCCTGGGCCCGCCCTGATGAAGGAAGACGCAGAGCATCTCCTCCTCCTCTTCGCCGCACCCCAGGCCTTCCTTATGCATCAGAACGCTCAGATGCTATGGTGCCTTTGCCTCGTGCGCCCCCGCCGACTCCACCCACTCCTTTTCTGACGTTGACGGAAGGCTACAACACGATTCAGGTGCATGATGAAGCAATGGCCAATCGTCTCATTGAAAGACTGGCCCTTCCTCACAGGCAGGACAACAGGTCCCGGAGCCCGGTGTTACGGTCGTGCCCACCTCTCCCCCGACGTCGTCCAGCGGTAAGAGATGAGCCAAGCACGTCAATCCAGCTTCTTGTGTCGAATGCCAGTGCTGACGCTTACGTTGTTCCAGATGGACCAGAGATTCCTCCTCCATCCGATGAGTGGACTTGCATCAAGCCTAGCGCTGGATCAGAACTGTGGGTCAAGTTTATGGACACGTCGATGTTGAATGATCGCCCGGACGTGCAACACATGATGTGGCCGCAGTTCTTCTGTATCAAAACGATGGCCGGAATGCACTTGTATGGGTTTCATCCTACGGAAAATACGAAGGACAACAAGAAGCAGTGGCATGATTTTGAACGTCTCCTGCTGCATTTCCGTTCGGCCCTGATGCGTGACCCGAACCGGATCAAGTCCGCCGCTGAGCTCAACGGCTATGATTGTCCTGTACTGAACGCAGGACCTCTTGACTTGCAGGAGAGATGGATCGCGACTCTTCTAGCAGGTGCTGACGCTCATGCAAATTTCAGCTGGAGTGACGCACATGAATCTTTCGGCATGGGTCCGGCCCAGTGAAGCAAATCAAGAATCTTGCTCGTGTGCTTTCTGCTGTCTCGTATTTGCGGCCGTTTGGTCGTGGAGACTTGCAGACCGGGAAAGGTACGTACTGGCTGTTTCCCTCCGAGACAGATCCCACCGCCGGGGCCTCGGCGTCCGGTGATCATGAAGCTCCGGTTGGAGTGTTCCTTGTGTTGACGACGGACTTGCCAGATGATCCGGGGACTTGCTTCAGCGTGCCTTTGGCGCACAACACAGTGCCGCAGGACTTATCCTCGATCATTAGCCAGAGAGTCGTCCGACCATCGTATTACGATCGTGCTGACAGAAAATGGTTGCTGTCCTCGGGGTTCTATGGAAGAATGGCTTGGCCCCCATCGGCCATCAGGCAGCCAAAGCTCGATGGCTCCATGCCAGATCACCTTGCAGCTATGTGTGCGTCCATGGTAAACGCCCGCCGTTTCGGAGGCAAGCAGTCTGATACCCGGACATGCGCCGCGGTGGGGTGGACATTCGTACGCCAGCATGTGCATTCCAAGGCGGCCTTTGCTTCGGACCAGACATTCGGGCACATGTATGATTTGGTTCACGGCCAGGACGGCCGGTGGATGTTCAGGTCTTCCCGTAGCATCTTGACAGGCGCAGCAGTGTTCTGGACGTCGTGGGCCATTGAAGATTATATAGACGTCCTGAGGTCTTCTTGGCTAGGTTGTCTTCCGCTTTAGCACATGTCTATGCAAACACTCCTGGATGGCCCATTGTCCACATTTTGAATGCTGCATTCCGCCGTGGATCGCACAGGGGCCCAAAAATAGTTTGCTGTCTTTGCATGTTGCCTAGGAGCATGCGTTCAGTTGCTCACCAGCTTTACGATGTCGCTTGCAGCCCATGTTCTCGGTCGCAACAATTTGTCTTACTTCTTAAAGGAGAGTTGTTTGTAATCTTTTTGGCTCAGTGATTTCTGTTGCCTTGAGTATCTGCTGCATTGCATTTTTGCGCTCTGCTCTTCCATGGGAAAGGGAGATACAAGATTCCGTTATTCAGAGTGTGGGCTGGTGCAAAGAAAAGGCGGTCCAAAGAAAACACGGTACTCCGACCCTATGTGGCGGATCAACAAGTCCGCATTCCGTATTCCCTTGAAATTTGTGCAGATATTCCTGAGTGGATCGGGGAGCCAGACCATCCCTCCGAAGAGCTTGCAGCCAAAATGGTACGCAACGGTCAGGTTATTATGAGTATTTGGACAACGCTGTGTGATCAGCTGCCATCTGCGCAGCTTCGAAGACAGGCAAATGGTACAAGACCTGGAGCTTTCATATTCTACAGCAGTGCTTACAGACAAGGTCCCTTGTGCGGCTTACGGAAGAATGTTAAAGCTTCCCCGTGGGTCTGCAGGTATATTCGAAGCTGTACGCATGAACGTTTTACCAGTTTTATGCTTCAACGAAATATTGCCATGAGTGTCCACAAGGATTTGAACAACAGTCGGTACAGCAGAAACATTCTCTTGCCATGTTCTCAATTCTATGGAGGTGGTATATGGACTGCAGCTGAAAACGGCGATTTCTACTCAGTGGATGGTCAACATGTGGGACACATGTGGAACCTGTCTCTCGCAGGCACCACCTTTCACCCGCATGTCTGGCATGAGTCGTGCCCCTGGTTTGGCGATAGAATTACAGTTGCAGCCTTTTCCATTCGAAATTCCTTCAACCTTGAAGATTCTGACAGACGATTACTCAGAAATCTGGACTTCAACATGTGAGTTTGAATCTTCGCTCTTCTGCTTTTCCAATTCAGTCGCCTTCTCTCGTGTTCTACCCAGATCTTGTGCGTGTCGTTCTGACCCATGAAGGTTGGATTCTGTTGTTTCTTGCTTGGCTTGAAGCTAGGCAAGATTCCGTTCACTGCACTGCTAATCATGTCTTGGCGGCGCAAAATGATTGCTTATGCTGCTTGATGGCCCCTCTGGGGCCTGTTTGTGTTATTCTGCTGTACATGCGATTTGTTGCACTTCACGTCGGATCCATGAAGGTTTTCGTCTTTCTCGGTTCTCCGTTTTGATATCTTTCTGATTTCATGCAGGGGCGTGCAGCACCTTTGGCATACTGCACTCAACGAAGCTATTGCCAGAGGTGGGAAGGGGTCAAGGACGCTTGACCCTGTACCTGCAAACAGCTGGGCCCCTGAGCCAGCAAGATTAGTGAAAAAGTTTTTCTCGCAAGGCAGTTTCATGTTTTCAGGTGATTCAGCCATTCTTATGCTTTCATGTTGCAATGCGCCAGAGTGAGCATGGTCATGAGGGCATGTGCACTGGACAACCATGCAAACTAATTAGCGACTCCATGTCGCCCTCCACAACCAGAAGGCGGGACAGGGAAAAGTCTTTAAGTTGTGTCTTTAGGTTAAGAAGTTTTACATGGTAGCGGAGCTTGGCTCGCTATCTCCGCCTTGGCCAGTATGCAGCACCCACTAGAGTCCTCGCCGGGGTTGTTAGAAAGGGGTGATGCTCGGAATGCTGGGGGGGTGGAGATGGGAGTCGCTGCAGGACAAGTAGATGCGTGGCAAGAGTACCTGAGAAACCGTCGAGCAAGAGAAGCACCGGTGCCTGACAGTGACATCATCCTTGAGTGAAGCAAGGCGACCTGTCCAAGGTCCTGTGCAGCAAGGATGTCAGCAGTACCGTAGTCGCAGAAGTCGTAGTCGCAGTAGTAGTAGTAGTAGTAGTAGTAGTAGTAGTAGTAGTAGTAGTAGTAGTAGTAGCAGTAGTAGTAGTAGTAGTAGTAGCAGTAGTAGTAGCAGTAGCAGTAGCAGTAGCAGTAGCAGTAGTAGTAGTAGTAGTAGTAGTAGTAGTAGTAGTAGTAGTAGTAGTAGGAGTAGCAGTAGTAGTAGTAGTAGTAGTAGTAGTAGCCGCCACGGATCAGACGGCCGGGCACTTGCTTCAAGGTCAACCGGGCTTTGGGCGCAACCTCTGTCCTAGAGGCCCAACTGGTCCCCAGGGCAACGTAACTGCTTGTGCCTTACAGAGAGCCATGGATCGTCGGGAGCTCTGAGCTGTCTGATCTGCCGGGTCCCAATTCCCGGGCCTCCTGAACTCAGACATCGTAGTCAGCCATTCAGGAGGTAGGCGAGAGGTCTTTCCACTGCTCCGCGAGGTGGAAGGAGTACTCACGATAAGCTATCTCAGTATCGCTCGGCGTGGGGAAAAACTAGCGGATGGCGGTACCTTCAGAGCACCCCAACAATTTTCGGAGCATTCGTAAAGTTGCATTCAGGAGAGCTTGCACGTTAGTTTCACGCACTCAACAAAGCATTCCTTACAGGCGAGGTATCTTGACACCGGAATATGTAGACAAGAGCAGATTGCATCCCCCCACCCAACTTGCCGACGGGGGCTCAAAGCAGCAGACGCCTGCACCTAAGCGCACCGCGCCAAGATCCAGAGGTGGAGCACTGGCTAAGCCACTCCGCGTACTCACTTGGAATGCCGGTCACCTAGGACAGCAGCAGTGGGCCGAGCTTCGCACGTGGCTTCGAACAGCAGCGGACAAATATGATGTAATAGCCCTGCAGGAGACACACTGGCAGGAAACCACAGAATTCGACGTGGAGGGCTGGCACTGCGTCAGCTCCGCCAACAAAGGACAGGTGAAGGCTACTAGAACTAAGAACAAGCAAAACTCAACGGCAGAAGGAACGGAACCGGCACTGCCAGAGGTTCCAGCTCATGCACTGCATGATGACAAGCGTGCCGATGGAGTGATGATCCTTACTGCTCCACACATTCCAAAAGACACTGTCAGGTGGAGCGAGCACAAAAAGGGACGAGTCCTCGAAACAGTATTCCAGTGGAAGGGAGCTCAAGTGCATGTGGTGTCGGTCTACCAACATGTATGGTCCACCTCAAAAACTGCACAGCAAAACAGAGCAGATAGATCTACCAACCTTGCTGCTCTGTCCCGAGCCATTCGAGGGGTACCGCAGAGAGACACATTGATAGTGTTGGGAGACTTCAACTCGACCCTCACGCCGAGTCCCGGAGTGGTTGGTCCGTGCACTCCAGGACCTCCTCCACATCGCAAGGCAGAGGACGACTTCTTCCAGCGGTTAGTTCAAGGACATGGGTTGGTAGCGTTGAACACCTGGTCTTCAGGGAAAGGATTTACCTTCCAGACGGCAACCACGCAATCGCAACTAGACTACATACTAGTCCCTAAAACAATCTCTCGAAGTGAAGCAAAAAAGAGCACGCCACTAGCCCACTTCCAGCTAGGAAAATGGAAAAAGGGAGGCCACCTCCCCGTGGCGGCACAAATACGCCCCATGAGGCACTGGCAGCTCCCCCCTCCCCCCCCCCCTCCCCCGCCATACGACAAACATGCACTTGAACGCGCAGTACGCTACCACCACCCCAAGGCACAAGAAATGAAAGAGTGGGTCGCTGCCCAGCTCCAGCAGCTGGCCTCTCCAGACATGAATTCAGCCAATGAAATCCTCATACAGGCTTCAGAGAGATACTTCCCGCGAGCTCCAAAACCTTCAGCTCCTCCGCTGAATGCCATGCATAGAGCGACTCAAAGAATGTGGTCACGTCTGACTGCGCTGGATGAAGACCCAAGAAGTCACTCCCTGACGCAGGCAGACCACGAGGTGTTGGTCAAAGACCTGGCGACTTGGCATATGCAGGCAGTATCATTGGCAAAGAAGCAAAGAGTAGCCGACTTCACAAAGGAGGTGGATCACTCAGCCAATACGGGAGACTCTTACTTGAGCCACAAAACCCTGAAAGCTCTCCGACCCTGGCAACCGCAGCCGAAAACACAGCTGGTGAACCAGGACGGATACTTAATGGCAGCCGAGGAGGAACTCCTGCTAATGAAAGATCATGCTAAGGCGGTGTTCCAGAGGCATGACAGGTTAGATGTGCTGGTGAATACACTGCCACAGCTGCAGGCTCCAGCATTGGCCAAGCACATAGGCTCCATAAGGCCACACAAAGCAGTACCCGAAGGTCAGCTTCGGCAGCAGCGTGCTGTCGAGGAGACGTGCTCCAGCAATACTGCCAGGCACAGAGCCTCAAAGCTGAGCACTGCTCAGTGGATTCATCAGTGACACTTTCAGCACCGCTGAAGGATACTGACCTTTGCTTCATTCCCAAGCCGAATAAGCCACCAAACAAGCCCACTAATCTTCGCCCACTGGGCATTATACGACCAGATGGCAAAGGATTGGCAGGAGCACGCAGGGACCTGCTAGCTCCCTATACGTCCAGCTACCTCAAGCCAGTGCCTCAGTTTGCTTATCAGCCCAGGAGAGGGCTGTCGGATGCCCTGTCCAGAGTCTCGCAACACACGCGCGAAGTCAGGCAGGCCTGCGCACAAGCCAGACTCAGCAGACACAGCCAGCATGCAGGCCATGCCAAGCCAGAGCTAGTAGGAGGCATTTGCTTTGCACTGGACCTCTCTCAAGCATTCGACGTGGTGCGACGACAGGACCTCATGGACACCCTGCAGGAGGCCAACGTCCCAATCGCGGTGCAGAACTTAGTGGCGTCTTTGCACACAGACAGCCGCTACAAAGTCAGATCACAGCAACGGACATGTGAAGTAGAATCGACTACAGGCATAAAACAAGGATGCAAGCTCGCCCCCACTCTCTTCTCGATGCTCACAGGCAAGCTCTTTAAGGAACTATCGACAGTTGTGGGCAAAGAAAGGATGCAGCAATCTCTCACAGGCTATGCAGATGACATGACGATCCATCACAACATCAGCAATTGGGAAGACCTGCTAAAGGCTCACCACATGATAGCAGAGTTGCTCCGCATTGTTCGTAAGTACGGCTTTAAGGTGAACCCAGAGAAGTGCCACTTGATGGTAAAACTCGTAGGTACTGCCTCCTCCAGAGCACACAAACTCTTCAGCCGAGTCCACAAGGATGCACAAGGCAACAAGCATCGACTATGGAGAATAGGTAGCACGAAAGCCCAGGAGTCATTCCCACAATCTACCTCTTTTAAGTACCTGGGTGCGTACGTCTCCTACGGCAATCAGGAAAAACTAAGCCTCACACATCGCCTGCAAGAAGGCAACGCCAAACTTCAACAAGTTCGCAGATATGTTCACAACAGGAGACACTCGGGGCCAAAGAGCAGACTCAAGATTTGGTTTTCCACAGTCTGGGCCACTGTCTCAGCAGGTCTCGTAGACATAGGCCTTACAGCAGACACTGCTAAACAGCTGCGAGGATGGTTTGCCAGAAAAATAAGGGCAGTCCTGAACAGACCGGTCCATCTCACAGGAACATCAACAGAGCGCCTATACGAGGAGTTCTCGCTTAAAGACCCCGTGCAGAGTCTGCGAGACAGGCAAGCGAACCGAGTCACATCCCTACAAGGACGGATCTGGCAGGCAGGGCAATCCCAGTCTGCACTGCGGAAGGAAGCGACTGAGTCCCTGACTCACGATGACACGTCGTCCCCGGATTCAGACGTGTCATTAACAGCCCAGGCACTTCAGTACGCTGAAATGGTGCTGCATGAATATGATGCACTGCTGACTGCGTCGCATGCAACGGCAGAGGAACCGACTCACAAACGCCGGTTATGCTCCTTTAGCTCTAACTCAGAGCAAGGCCTAAAGATTCACGAGGTCAAAAAGCATCGAGAGCAGTTAGACAGATATGTACCCAAATCATTCCTACCAGAACACTCCAAAAACGGCCTCCCAACCTGTGCAGCGTGCTCCAAAGAATTTGCACTGTGGAAAGGCCTAAAAGACCATCTACTGTCAGGAGCCTGCCCCAATCCAGACGCCCTGCGAGCACTGGACGCCCGAACCTTTGAGCTCCACACCCAACAAGGCGCAACAGAGGTGATGCATGCCTGGTCTAAGGCATACCTAGAGAGCACGAAAGACACACATACGGTCACTCAGCTCGCAAGGCAACATGACTCCAGGCACTTCGTGCAACACTGCGTGATCTGCGGTTTCTGGACTCCTGATCATACCAAGGTGAAGTCCCACATTCACCAGGAGCACCGAAAGGCTTGGGACGCCCTGCACACTGACACGGCTGAGAAATGCCGGAAACTCGGGGCCGAAATATTTAAGGGCAGTTCCTGCCCATACTGCAGGAAGCCAGTCACTGACAGGCGCAAACACCCAGAACAATGCGGCGTGCTTTTTCAGATCATCCTGGGCGATTCTTTCCTCCATCAACACAGAACAACGACAGGACCGATCCAAGCCTTCTTCACCAATGCAGCTTCACGCCCTAAATCGGAGCAGAAACAACACCAGCAGCAGAGCACAACCCCGTCCACACCTAAGAAGCCAACAGGGCAGCTCCAAACCCCTCTCTCCTTCTCATCTAACCGACCTGAATCGTCACAACCAGTGAGCGGCCCTTCTTTCTCTCATGCCCATTCAATGACCTCATCTTCCTCTCTCTCTCCCTCCTCCCCTCCTGCCGCTCTCTCAGCCCTTGCACGGCTCCAGCTGAAGAATACCTCTAACTACTGCTATATTAATGCCACAATTTTATCGCTGCTGTCGACCTCAATTATTGATCCGAACCTGCGCTCCCTTCAAGCTCTTCACACCCTGCTGAAAGGCCCGGAAGGTACAGTAGGTCCCACCGCCCTCAATGTAGTAAACTCATTCCAGCTCAGGAATTTGCTGCCAAGATGGCGCTTCGACGGCACACAACAGGACTCGGCGGAGTTCCTACAGTGCTTACTCACAGCAGCCTCAGACATCCCTCTCACACGCAGATGGGCAACAGTAGACCCAGCAACGGGAAGGCTGGCTGATGAGGGAGGCCCCATTGTCATGCTGCTACAACATTCAACTAGCAGCACGCTGCAATCCTTGATAGATGCCTGGTCAGTAGCCCCTCCTGACTCCGCACTGATGGGGCAGCAGACGCATGCCATCCTTGCAGTAGCCCGATTCACAGGGGCAGGTAAGAACCACCACCCAGTCACGGCTATTAACGGCGATCTCATTATCCCAGTGTTACAGGGCGGAGTCATCAGCAGAGAGCATGCTTTTGTTCAATCTTGTATTTTCCACATAGGACCCTCCCCACACAGCGGCCACTACCGCACTATATGGAGGTCATCGCCTACCTCACCCTGGCAGTCGACCGATGACCAGCGCAGCTCTCAGCGAGCTACGGAATCAGACCAACGGCAAGTCAGACACGGTTCCTATCTCTTCTTTCTCACCTTTCGAGCGGAAGTGCCTGCAATAGTAACGCTTTAGTGGCCGAATAGCACCAACAGAAGTGAGGAGTCGTAAGAACTCCCCACCTCTCTTTTAGAGTCGTAAGCACTCTTTGCTAGAGCCGTAAGCGCTCTCAACCACTGGAGTGTTGCAGCAGCTTCGGCTTTGCACTGCAGCCAGAGCCTCTCAAACAACTAGAACAACCGACGTAGCTAGAACACAGAGAGCCCAGAGAGCGTCAGCATGCTTGGTCAAGACCGTCGGGATGAGCGACAAACTGAGAAGCGAGCACGGACATCCGGGGCGGAACAGCTACCTCGCACAGATGAAGGAGGAGAAATCCATCCACTCTCACCGACGGATCTCACCCGAGGCTTCCTGATTCATGAGGATCAGATAAGCAGACTGATGCACCAAAGCACGCTGGTGATCAAGATGACAGCCTCAGCGCCACTAGCGTCTAAGCTACTCGAAGCAACAGCGCAGTGGAGGCGAGAGCATACCCGAGGCAGGCCACATCCCAAGGGGCCAATTTCTGTGGCAGTGGCCCGCCAACTACTGTCAGAACTGCAGGAGTCACAGATGCCAAACGGTGTCAACCAGAATGCCTGGTCTACATTTATGGACGTCATCTCTGACCTGACCAAGAAGGCACCACCGAACCCCATTCTCGAACAAGAGCTGGTGCACTGCTCAGCTAGGCTGACAGCAAGACGAACAGATGTTCTGATAGAATTTCAGCCCCACCTCATGGGCACGCTGCAGAAGCATGCCAACATCTACGTGAGCGCCATGCAGCTTCAAGGTGGCGAACTCCTCGGCAGGCGACCGCCCGGGACTCTCTCGCGGAAGGCCAGAGGCTTGCCGATCACGCCTGAGCAAGGATAAGCCACCTAAACACGGAAGATCCAGCACCCTCTTAGTCTGACACTGTCAGAGCCACTATGGGACACTGTCTCAGCGCGCTGCTTATTGCTCTGCTAATAGCTCAGCTAAGGCTCCGACAAGGCCAACGCTTCTGGCACTGCCAGTGACTGGCAGCCATTTTTACAGCCCTTCTTTCCACTTTTAATTCCTTCAACAGACCTACTGCAATAGCGCGGACATTACAAAATCTCTCTGAGTGTGCATTCTGGGTGTTATTATTTGGGGATGCTGGCAATACAGACCCTGCTTCATGTGCAGAATGGTTATCGCAGCTAAGGGCCACGCCCCATTCCTTGTGTTCGTCACCAGAAATGGCAGTGTGAATGCAATCACTTCTCTCCCCGTCCTTTCTCCTCTTCTCCTTCTTCTTTCCGGTTCTTCCTGCTCCTCTCCGCTTCCTTGAATAGACTCTAGCCGCCCGAGCATAAGGCTCAAACTGCTGCTTGGCCCAGCCCAGTATACCCTGCCTAAGCTACAACGTGTCATGCCCTTCATTGTGGACGACAACCAATTCCCTCCAGAACAGTACGAGTACTACTTGCGCCTCTTTCATCAGAACGTTGCAGCTCACAAACGCGAAGCTGAGCAAGCTGCTAAGCAAGCCACTTCCAGCCTGGAAGGCGTTGACGACAAGCAATCCAGCTCCACAAAGACCAAGTCGACATCGGACGCCACTGGCCCCCCAGTTGACACGCCCGACACGGAAGCCGCCTTCTCCTCCGAAAGCGCGGTCCAAGAAGCAGCCGACAACGCACTGGCGACCGAAATAAGCTACAAGTGAGAGTCGCGGCACTGCCGAGCTCGCTTACACACACTGTGTGGGGCACCGGAGTGTTCCTCTTTAATTTAGCCCACGCAGCAAAGCCGAGGCAACTGATTTCGAAGCCTGGCACATTTCGAAGAAGACGAGTCAAAAAAGGGAGCGAGAGAACACTGACCCATGATCTTAGTGAGACATTCGATGCTATTCATCTTGCCTCCAGCCTCTCTTTCTCTTTCTTCTCCCCTCCTTCTTCTCTCCCGCGCTTACTGTGGCAGATCATGTTCAAAAGTCCGGGCACAGCGGCAGGAACACTTCCCTTCAACTCTTTTGCAGCCAGCAATGGCCATGGCGGGAGCTGCTCAACGCAGCAAGCAATTCCAGCTGCATGAGGAGATGCTGGGCAGGATCACTGCCCGACACAAGAGCTCTATCGCCAGGGCACTTATGGAACCTATGGGCCAGCAAATTGGCCATGGCAGCAGTGCGTACGTGACCACGCTGGCCTACCCGACCCCGGAGGGACATCAACTGGTCGTCAAGCGTGCAAAACAGACTCGGGAGGCCGAGATGCAAAAAGAAATTCACCGCCTACGGCGACTCCCGACGATCCCCCTCTTTCAGACCGTCCTGCACACCGAGGTCGGCGCTGCGGTCATGCTCACACTGTGCACAGTCGAGGAAGGCATCAAGCAGCACCTCTACCGGAAAAAAGCCCGAGAAGGGTTGACCACCACTCTGCAGACAATCCCCAGCACTGCTGGGGAGGACAAGGATGAGGCGCTAGGACACTGTCCTCCTGCCCGAATCCCCTTCTCAGCATGGAATGAGGACGGCACTCCAGCATACCCGTCAAACCCACTCCAGGCGGAGGAGCAGCAATGGTACGACAAAATGGACCAGAGGCACATGAAAGAGCTCTTCGACACCATTGCTGAGGACATGCAGTGCGCCCTATCAGTGCTCCACCAGCACGGCATCATCCATGCAGACATCCACCTGGGCAACATCATGTCGTCACAAACAACAAGCCAAACCAGCCCACAGTGGGTCCTCAT